GAGCGATAATAAGTAGTTGCTCTCAATAATCAGAATAAGTCTTGTTGAGACGTTTGTCAGTGCATCCAGCGTAACGATGAAGATACGTAACCGATAAAGACTGCCGTTAATTTACACTCCTCGCGTGAAAAAAACGTCTGAATTAAAATAACTAGAGACACAGTTTAAACATTAAACCTGGCTGCAAGTTTAACATCTTCAAAGACATGCAGTACTTGTTGTATAATAACGAGAGTCTAGTACAGGTGCTTTCGCGTTGCCTTTAGCGAACGGGTTCCACCCACGCCTCTACGTCTTCCTTAGTTTATTGTCACTACTCTTTCATCTTTTCCTTGTCTTAAAACGTTTGTTCAAGCCTGTTTTAGCGAGTAAACCATTTATCAATTCCTCTTCCTCTTTTTTGATAAAATTTATAAATATTTTATCRAAAACTAATAAACGCCGTAACATAAATCTAATGAGAAGTTATTTGATGGCCTAAACTTCTTTTTAATTCAGTCATCCAACTTCCCTTRATCAACGGGGCTTTCCCTTCAATAAAACCATTAATATTGGAAAGTCATTTGTTTTCAAGGGGGGAGGGGTGGGGCTACTCATTAGAAGTTATTTTATGGCTAAAATTCTTCACAATTTAGTCATCCAACTTCCCTTAATCAACGGGGCTTTCCCTTTAATAATATCATTACTACTGGAAAGTCATTTGTTCATGAGGGGAGGGGGAGGGGGTGGTGAGAACGAGTAAGGACTCGCTCTACGATGCGATAAAACCRGCGATTTTGAAGAGTTTCAAACATTTGAAAATATGTCCTTGTAGATTTAAGATTTATCTTTACATCGAAAAACTCAAAATTCAAACAATTTTCTTCTTCTATAGTCACAAATTAGAAATAACTCCATACAGACATTCATTTTGATATTGTATGCGCTACGATTTTTTTACAACTCAACTTTGTTATTTTCTCTTAAATAATGCAAAATACAAATTTATTTTAAGTAACAAAAATGACTTCTTTCAGGCATTAAATTTCTACTGAATTGCCGATTGCCGGRCCATCTGTTAAATTTGACAGATTACGATATAGAATGAAAGTTTGAATTTTCATTTCGAAATTGAATAATTTTTCAGCCTACATCGAAGCTAAGTAAACAGTGGTTAACGTGTGGACCCAGTGAGGGGGATACGATATGATTTTTACTGACGGCACGTCACGCATTGAGTAGGCAAAATTACTAACGCCCTCTACAGTCAATATTTGTCCTTGTTTCTTTAATTTTCCACTCTCTTTTATTGCTTTTTGTTTTTTCTTTTCTTTGGTAGAAGCGAGAAATACGGGTGAAAAAGTTCAGGAAAGTTTTCGGCAGATGGCAGGAAGAAACAACGTGACAGGAAGGCTAGATAAATTTAGCAATAAAGTTATTTGATTGACTTCCTTACTTTTTATTTAGGTCCTCAATTAAGATAATTGCCCGAGCAATAGTTGATAGAACGGCTTAGTCACTGGTACTTCCTTCCCTGATGAATAAATGCGTATTGATTCTCTAGATGATCTGGCAGAACTCGCAAGCCAGTCGGTGGACAGTCGGTAGGCAGTCGGTAGGCAAGTGTGACCTAGACCTGGCCAACCGCCAACATTGTAAAGTAACACCAATTTTTTGTACGAAAAATAACTCTAACAAAGAAAACTTGAGACAACAAGTGTTGGAAAGTGTGAGTGAAGTAATAAAGGAATAATGAGTTATAGTATAGAAATGTCTTCAATTAGGTACAATGTATCTAGTATAGAGTAGCGATACAGTCATCACAAGTGACACAGGAAATGTTCTTGAACAATCTACTTCCGGTCGTATTTTGTTCTTCTTGATCGTTCTTTTCTCTGGGCTATATTTCTATTTTATACTCTTTTATTATCCCTTATTACCCTGTAATTTCGATATGCCTCAGGATATTATTGAATAGATAGCTTTTTTATGTTTGTTTTTGGATAAATTGTTTTTCCTGTGTCGGTTGATAGGTACATAGATTAAGTGGAATGTTGTAGAGATTGATGTCTGGTAAAAGAACACAAAGCCAGGGTGACTTGCATAACACTGGCTGTTTGTTATGTGCTCAACTAGTGTCTTAACCAACTAGTTGAGTCCAATCATTACTCTAATGTTATCCTTAGGAACAAAACTAGTGACTGCATAAAGATACTGCCTGACATATTCTTCACAACTTTGACCTTCGTTACATGCCTACTGAAGTATTATCAACTCACTCGCATCTGCATTGGACTTAAATATGAGGCTTTCAAACTCGAACAGTCAAAGAATTTGCATAATTATTTAGTCAAAAAAATCGCTCTCTCTTGCTTTTTTTGCTGGAACTTGCTCAATTCAGCAAAGATATCCTTCATTCCTCTTYATATCCGGTTTTAAACAAGCTGCCAATTAGCGGTACGTTCAAAGAATGGGGAGGGTGGGTATTTTGCTTGTTTGAGCAAATGAGGCGCGTTCCTGTTGACAAGAGCTCATTCTCTGACCAATAACATTCAAGTATGTATGTAGTATTGTTCGCGAGAACGAGGTAGCATTGATTTGTGCTAGACAACAACACGACAGAAATTTGAAGTCAGTAAATTTCCAATGCGAATGATTGCAGGGTACGAAGAATCATAAAAGGAATCTAAACACCCACGCTAAGGCCCTCAGTAAGAACTCAAGAATTCCTAAACTATTACTCATCCTGGAGGTGTACTGTTAAAAGACTGGCTAAATCACCGGGAAGTTGGATTTGTCAGGATTTGAGAAAGTTGGCCCACTGAGCTGGCTAACTAAATAACTGGATTGGGATCAAAGCCCAGAGAGTGCGTCCTATCTAAAACTACGAATGGTAATCAGCGGGGAGGTGGGGAAGATGAGCGATGCGGACGATATGAAATCCCCCAACAACGTGATGGAGAGGAACCAGTGTGAAGACACGGAAACTCCTGTTAAACGTAAACGAGGAAGACCAAAGAAAGTGGTAGTCGAGGTATGTACCAAACTACGGTTAGTGTTGTGTATCATATGACTGAACGTGGTCTAATACTACTCATATGTTGCATGTTGTTTTGTTCTGATAAACAACAGAAGCCAACAGAAGAGAACACCGACGGCCCTGTGGTGAAAAGAAAACGAGGTCGACCTAAAGGATCAAAAAATAAAAACCCTAAAGTAAGTGTTTAGTCTGTAAGTAGTTGCCTGTTCAGTTCGACTAGCAGGGAGTGATCATGTCGTTGTAGTGCCTTACTTCACTACAATGCAATTTACTACTACAATCAAGTCATCCCATAGACATGCTGTACGATAGCACGTCTTTAAAGCTGTAAACAACCAAGTTATATTCAAGCTCGTCAAATTTTGATATAAGAGTTCACGCTTCTGTTTATTAGTGTATTGTCAAGGGCATTTTAAGTTACAGTTCACCGATCTTTTTTTGTTTGTGGTTAAGTTGATGTCGAATCACCCAAGAGACTCGTGACGAATTGTTTACWAGTTCAAATGAATAATTAGTCCGCGGACAACGAACTCTCTCCTTCTCGTAGAATTCCACGAACTATCATATACATATCGCACTCTCGCTTCTTGTTGATCTCTGAGCTCAGCACTTCCGGTATTTAAACCATACGACCTGTTGAATGTACTTTCCTTTTATTTCTCGTGATCGACTATCTTGAATGCTTTTCGTATTTCGGTGATCCCGCCTTACGTCACGTGYTGTCATCCACACATGCGTAGAGTATGTGAAGTACGCCACGTGTTGTTTGCGCGGGAAAAATTATAGCAAATGCAAACACGGCGGCGCGTTGACGCGTACACAAAAGCAGCAGACACGTGCTCTGGCTTTGTATGTCCACTTCAACATCCATCTGCCTTTCATGCTTCATACAACAAATAAAACACAGACTAAAAGATTTCATTTAGACTTAAATACCTAAAAAGAAAAAAAAGCGGACTTTCTTTGTGTGGAACAAAGACCAAAACAACGTACAGTTACAAACATTACAGTCAACAAAAAAACAGTTCAGTTTCCCATCAAACATAATCGTTAAACCGTTCCAAAACTTTTATTCTAGACAATTCATCTATTTTCTTGTAAACGAAAGGTTTATATATAGTGTAGTTCTTGCAAATTAGCTTGTTTTGTCCCGGCAAAGAAGACACAAATTTGAATGGAATTCAACACGACTGCAGCCCAAACATGGTTGTCGGGTATTAAACCAGGATTAGATGCGGACAGTTAGCTTGATGAAATTGAATATTGATTCACTAATCTTTTTAGTCATATTATTATTATATTCTGGTTTGATAGCTAACGGCAACACGTGGTGATCATAATGGCCTCGTCTAGTCACGACCAAGTCTATTTTCGTACTTATATCTCTCCAATCTCATCTTTCTACCCTTTGAAACGTTTTATTTCAGTGGGTGTTCTTTTGTAGTAGTGGTCGGTCGGTGCGTGGTTTCGAAGTGTCGTTCTATTCAATAGCTATTACCTATGATCTAACCAACTTAATATCAGCTTAATTTAGAATTCTTTTTTCAATTCATAGGTCATATTAGTATCTAAACATAGACTATCACAGATTTGACCGAATCAAATGATTTCATGGATCATCGACTACTGGTTTTTAGGGCCGGAGTCAGATATTGATCCATTGTTCTTATGGCCTTGTGTTTAGAAGAATAATCGTTCAAAGATTAAGAGTCAAATGTATGGCTTAATTCTATGTTGAATATTGTGATTTAAGCAGCAACAATTTTATCGTTAACTGGAAGATGAGTTGTTTGGTAAAGTAAGATCGGGGTTAATACGATAAGGGGTCAGTTATCTTATATACTGCTTGTCAACATCCAAATGTTGTGTTTTTTTAAGCATTCTTTAGAGCAAAGAAAACAGTGTAAGAACTCATAAAAAGTGGCATATCTTTTTCAGTCCTAAAGAGTCATTTTTCCAGGAAAAACTTCTCGTGTAAATCAAATTCGTTCCAGCCTCCTTTAATGGCTGCCATAACGTGATAGTACAAAGCCGAAGTAATTTAGGATTTAACGACAAAATGGAGGAATTCAAGGCCGTTCAAGTACTCTAACAAATCGATTTGTATTCGTGTTTAATTCGGAGAATAATCGTTGTTCTAGCAGGTGTTCGTATTTAGATCTTCAGGTGGTCTAGTGTGATTTGCTTTGGTTTGTTTATCAATTCAATAAAGAGAAAATGTCTGGCAGAGTCTTATTCTTCTTCACATGAAATCTTTTATTGTATGGATCAAGAATATAACTTTATGAAACTCTTCGACTCTATCGTTGTCGGTCCATGTATACTTAGTGTTCATTCGATACCGCCATCTATTAACCTTCAAACACACTCACCTGAGGCTAGTTTTAAAAGGAAGCAAAGTTCGTTGTTCTTTGTAGAACGGCGCTATATATTATTGTTTGATTAAATTTCTCTCTATACAAGTCAAGGTTACGTATTGTTTCTAAGGAAGATCTCTTTGACCTTGTTATTTCAGTATGAAAATAGTGTCATTACAGACCCAACTCACATTTTCACATCAAGTACTGACTGCTATTTTGGTCTATTGGTTGATTTTTTTGGTGGTTCGTTAAACTTTTGGTAGAAATATCATCGAAAGGAGTGCACATGTGTTTGCTTTCAATCGCGCCGTGTTGCTAGTCGGTTAAGCCCAATGTTCTTGAATATTCTTCTTTTTTTATTTAATGAAAATTTTCCATTCATAAAAAAATAGGTTCACGTACAGAAAACGAGGAACATCATTTCATTTTCTGTGTCAGCTTTCTCGTTTCTCGTTCTTTGTCGTTTTGTAAGCCTAGATTTCCGGACAAGCGTTCAGACAGAGCGATTGTAAAGGTAAAGATCATTTAGCTGACACTTACCAACACAAAGACATAATTGGAATAAAATAGAATAAAATAGATGAGAATTAATCTGCCGTAAAGACAATACGTCGTTACTTGATGCAACGTGTTGCTGTTCAGAGACACGCAAATCCAAAGCTGTCTCACTGCTTAACTCCACAATCCACTTCTCTGTTTAGCCTTCAAAACATGTTTATTAAACTTTTAAGACACTGGAAATAAAAGAACTGGTGTCAAAGATTCGAAACTGAGTGTGCATAACTGTTTTTCAAGCTGTATCGAAACATCTAGAAGAAAGAACACAAACGACTTGACTCGCAACAAGACGCATGGAAATTCTCATAACGTTCTTTTTGTCGTTTCTAATAAATGAATGTGAGAATTTAGAAATCGATCGGTCGATAATTGTTTCCGTTGCATTGTCATTTGTTCATATTGCATTGTTTTCGAATGGATGTTTAATAACCTTATATCCCAGCAGACTCTCTTTCAATTAGTTTATTAACTTGTGTCCATCAAGTCATTACATTTTAACCGCAAAGGTTCAGAACGATTTTAGTGATTGAGCCCTTTGTCTCGTGTGCTGAGCGGGATTTCTGACTCAGTTGCTAATGCGTTGAGACTGCATTAATAAAAAAAAACGAAAGAGCTGAAAGTACAAAAGAAAATGAAATCAGAGTACTRTTAGAATGGGATGGTATTATGTGGAGTGCTGTTTGAACCCTTGCCTGAGAGAGAGAGTGACTTTTATGATTAGTAGATCAATAAAAGAGATTAGCAGCTGATGTAGCACTTAACTGACTATATTACCTCTTCACAGATCCTTCATTTATCCTCGAACTGAACTTTCTTTCTTAGTTCTCTTCTATTTTTTTRTCCTTCATTTCTTTGATTTTTCGCTTCATTCTTTCTTTCCTGTCATTTTACGTTTCTTTCTTTCTCGTTCATTCTCCTTGTGTCGCAGTTTACGATAAGTTTGTTTTAGTTTGTGTAAAGCACGGGCGGCGTAGCGTTAAGAGCRCTCGTCTCTCACCAATGCTCGGTGTCGTATGCGAGTAGAGTTGTTTGTTGGTTCTCTCCTGTGCTTCGAGGGTTTTTCTCCGGGTTYACCGGTTTTCCTCCCTCCACAAAAAACTTCTAAAAATCTCAATTGGAATTCAGTAAATGCCACTGTTAAATCCTATTATTATAGTATTCAGAAGTCATTACAACCAGACTAGTACTCTTGACAATACATTTCTTGATGCTACAATATATCTCCCTTCACCTTGCATTTATTTTTTTAGCTATAACCTCATTGACTTGCATTTATTTTTTTAGCTATAACCTCATTGATTTGGATTCTCCATTTATATCCAAGTCTACCTTTGTTAACATACCTATTAATTCTTTGTATTTTTCCTTTTTAGCCAAAACCTGTCAATACCGGTCCTCCTCGGCCAAGAGGACGTCCAAGAAAATGGGTAAGTTACCATGGTTACAGATATTGATCGACMGCTGGAACGTTTGAGTGTTTTCAACTCAGTTGTCTTCTCTACACAACCTTCTTGTTGGTATATGTTGCCATCCCGTTCTTCCTCAGTTCTCATCTAAGTAAGTCCCTTACGTGTTTTATTTCAGCCCGTTCCTGATGCCACGACACCAAAGAGAGGCAGAGGCAGACCCAAGAAAGGGGTAAGACTACACATGTTCTCGTACTTTACACTTGCCACACAGTCACAGTCCGTTCGCTGCGCGCACTCGTGAGAGATCTTTTCAACACTCGAAGATAAATTTCGTATCCCCGCGCGCCCATGTAATAWCCTCTATATAATTGCGACAGTTTTTTGATTGGTTACCCACAATGATGCAAAGCATTATGGGCCATGGGAAAGAAGAGAATGTGTAGATATATGTACTAAATTGTGATTGGTTAATCCCTACTTGCAATCTTACGCGCCCTTTCATTGGCTGCTTCGCGATACTCCAACCGGGCTGACTGTAGAACCCAGACGAACCTAACCAATAGTTGTTCTCGGATGCRCGCAGACTACAAAAATGCGGCAAATTTTGACTAAGAAAATCATCAGTAAATTTGGCGCGAAGCAGAAATGACAAGTCCTCCGTCGTGGGATGAAGAACTGTTAAGGCTGAATTAGACGGTACGATTTTCGCCTACAACCATCGCATGCAACCTGTTCACGTCATACTTACGACATGAGTTGTGTCGTGTCATTCTGTCCTACAACTCACTCAAGTCTGTTGTGTGCGACTACAAAAAAGTTGTAGAGTTT